CATAGACATTCTAAAGTTCCCTTCTGAGAGTATGGCTGCTTGAGCTTTTCTGATCTTATTCAGTGACCTGCTACAGTTTTGTGAGAGGCACCAGGTGTAAATAGAATCTCATGGGAGAATCCGTAAGTGTAAACAAGCATCTTAGGAGTGAGAGATCAAGGCCACAGAGTATCCAAAGCCATGACCACAACTATATCTACCTGTAAAATGTGGTACTGGAGTAGAGTATTCTTGTCCTTCCTCTAACCCAAGAGCTAGCTCATCAGGTGATCCAAATTCTGGAGCTCCACCAGGGCAGTTTCATTCTTTTTTTTTTTTTTTTTTTTTTTTTTTTTGAGACGGAGTCTCACTCCATTGCCCAGGCTGGAGTGCAATGACATGATCTCAGCTCACTGCAGCCTCTGCCTCTCAGGTTCAAGTGATTCTCCTCCCTCAGCCTCCCGAGTAGCTGGGATTACAGGCACATGCCATCATGCCACACTAATTTTTGTATTTTTAGTAGAGATGGGGTTTCACCATGTTGGCCAGTCTGGTCTCAAACTCCTGACCTTGTGATCCGCCCACCTCAGCCTCCTAAAGTGCTTGAATTACAGGCATGATGAGCCACCGCGCCCGGCTAGTTTCGTTTTTTACATAGGATCACCCTGAGTCTCTCCTGCCTGGCACATCATTGGGTCATCAGCCCAGGGTCATTGGGAACCCTCTTACAATCACCTGGGCATCTTTGAGACATTTGAGGTTGTCCAGAGCAGAACTGTGTCAGGCTGACAAGAGTGGTTAATTATGCTTCTGTCTCAGTGTAAGAGAAATGAGTCAGTCTGCATTTGTTCCTCCTCTCATACAAGAGATGTCTTGGTTGGTACCCAGATGAGAGTTTCTCAAGTTTCCTGGTACTTGGGTGAAAAAAAAAGAAAGGGTCTGGAGACTCAAATAGATAAACTAATTGCTTCCATTTTATATGGCCATTAGAAAATAGTTGAAGCAATCAGTGTTCCTACCATGCAGGAACTTTAAGTCTAGACTAGTAACTGGATAAATGGTTGAATGAAGCATTATATGGTTGGTACAATGTGTGGAAAAAAAAAAACTTGGCCTTTGGCCAGTTTCTTTATATTGTTGTGACTTCTGATGTCATCACCTGAAGGGATATTTATGAACAGAAGAGTTGTTATTGTTTGTATTCTTTTTTACTTTCCTGTTAATACATATTTATGTTCTAATAAAATTACTCTAGAAAACCTTAAGGAATTTGTTTAAATTACTTATTGACATGGCAGTGGCTAAAAGAAATTAGAGTTACACAAACTCTATAATGTAAGTTTCTCTTAGGTAAGCTAAAAAAAAATCAGAACTGGAAATACCTCAATGGCGTAGAGAGCAGAATTCTACATAGGGTCCACTCCCTCCCCCAGTTCTAAGATTCACTCTTTTTGGAGGCCTTATTTAGGTCTGGCCCCACTGTGGAGTCTTGCCTCACCAAACTGATTAGAAGAAATTAGTTTTGGCTGGTGAGTCCTGCAGCCTTTTTAGAACTGGTGCCCATAGCTCTTGGAAACTCAGAAGCAGATGAATGGGAAAAATAAAGTATTTATTTTGGGGCCTTAATTTTTTATTTTTTATTTTTTTTAATCAAAACCAGGACTTGCTGACATGTTCCATGTAACAACTTGTTTTCTGTTACTGCAGATTTAGTAGTTGCTCCATAAGCCACAAAAAAGTAAATATAAACACAATAAAAAATTTTTCTAAACTACATTAAGCTTTTCTGTATCCCTCTCATCTGTCTATATTTAGCTTTTATTTTATACATCTTCAAAAAAAAAATCAATGACAGAAACAGAAGAAATAAAAATCCTGGGCTCTTTATCCTGAGATTTATTGAACACCTCATACCAACTCCCAGGGTGTTATGAGGATTAAATCAAATAATGTATTTTTCCCAGCACAATGCTCTGTAACACTTGAGGACATAGCACTTGCTTAATAAACGTTACGTTAGTGCATGTGTACATGTTGTTTTCCGAATGCAGACTCATTCAAACGTTGCTCCCTTTTGTTTCCTCTGTAAACTTTAAAGGACCAGCAAAGAATATGATACTTGAGGATGGAGATTGGTTGTCTTTGTGTTGTGAGGAGAGTGCTGAGTTTAAGGGAGTCTGTGCTGTGCCTGCTTTCTCCAGCTAATGCTGATAATGAGCCCAGGAAGAGCAACATCAGCATTGACAGGGGATTTGTTTAAAACACCCATTCATGGACCCTTTCCAAACCTGCAGAATCACATTACATAGAGTGGGACCAAAACTATCAAGTGATTTATAAGCTCATTAAAGCTTGAGAGGCAATGCTTAGCTAAGTGGTTATCAGCCCAGGCTTCTAATTAGGATTACATGGCTAATTTAAAAAATCTTACTTGTGCCCTTTCCACAGGTTCTGTTAATTGTTCTTGGTGGAAGTATCCATATTGTTCTAAGTAAGGGCCTCATGTGACTCTTAAAATGAGGACAGAGTCAAGTATGAGGGGTTCAGGATACATTCATGAGAGATAAGTTCCACCTTTGCATTCAGGGTTGGTCACAGGGCCTGTTCTGTTCAGGTTTGGTAGAGACAGGTCAGTGTGGCCCATATTGCCATTATTGTAGCAGAAATTGGTGGTGTCTGTGCCAGGGGAGGGCACCTGAGAACAGGAAAAGGAAAAGGAAAATATATATATTTAAGAGACGGAGTCTCACTCTATCGCCCAGGCTGGAGTGCAGTGGCACTATCTCAGCTTACCGCAACCTCTGCCTTTCGGGTTCTAGCAATTCTCCTGCCTCAGCCTCCTGAATAGCTGGGATTACAGGCTCATGCTGCCATGCCCGCCTTATTTTTTTGTATTTTAGTAGAGATGGGGTTTCACCATGTTGCCCAGGCTGGTCTCGAACTCCTGAGCTCAGGCAATCCACCAGCCTTGGCCTCCCAGTGTGCTAGGATTACTGGCCTGAGCCACTGTGCCTGGCCGAGAAACTTATATTTTTATCTTCATGGAGTGTCTCATTGTTCCTGAATCCCTTCTTGTGTAAAGGACAGAAGTGGGTGAACTTTTTCTCCAGGTTTTGGTTTTTCTGCCTGTGAGTGTGGCGGTAGCAGGTAAACAGGGGGTGCTAATACCTTTAGAGGCATGTTCTCAAGATACGAGTGTAATTTGTCCAGAGAATCTCATCTGAGAAGGAATTCCAAAAAAGGAGAAAGAGGAAGAATTGGTTCTTTTTTTTACTTAAACCTGTCTCAGATCAAGAGCTGTGTCCACTCTTCCTCCTGGAATACCATGTGTTTAGTACTTGCAAACCTTTCTCTGCTTGATCTTTTCCTCCCTAATGAGCTAGTTTCAATTACTTTAAAAATTCATTATAATAGTCAAGGGTCTCTGAAAAATATTTTTCCTATGTACCAGAGCCGCCTTTATATTCTCTGCATCGTGGCTTCTTATGTGCCATGCAGAATTCTCATTATGAATTTATAATCTGCAATATTAAAAATATTTCCTTTGTAGCTGTTGAATTATGGGAATGTGTGGATACTCAAGATTTCTACGGGGGAAAAGCTGGGGTCCTTAGTAAAGAAAAAGAACACGTAATGTTGAGGATCCACCTGTGTTCTCCATTAGCTCTATACAGAAAAGGACCAAGAAAATGCTTATTTAAACAGAATGGCATTTATCACCCAGGAAGTTCTGAAAAAATTTTTAGGAGATTCCTGCTCTCTAGGGTGCTGAAGAAAGACTACTTAAAATCACTAACAGTACAGTAAATAGGAGACATCTCTATTTTGAACTTTGCATAAAATTGATGTTTCTTTATGGTTAAATTTAGATTATAATTTACTTTTCGGGAGCAGTATTCCAGCAGTGATGCTGTGTTCTTTGTGCATCAGCACATCATAAAAATTTGTTCCTAGTACAGTTGATTTAATGATTCACTTGGCTAAAGAGCTCTCTGACAAGTGTTTTTTTTTATAGAGTTAATTACTTTTCTCTTCATTAGTAAGTATCTTCATACAGCTCTTGTGCATAAATTATCACATTTGATTGGGCAGCTGCCTTTTTTTCTTAGGTTTTATTTGCATATATGTCTTTGGAAGATGAAGGCTCTCATCTTTATTTACAAGCCAGAAAAACTGGGAAAAACACAGGTTCTTTTTTGTTTGTTGGTTTTAGATGGAGTCTCACTCTGTTGCCCAGGCTGGAATGCACTGGTGCAATCTCAGCTCATTGCAACCTCCGCCTCCTGGGTTCAAGCGATTCTCCTGCCTCAGCCTCCCAAGTAGCTGGAATTACAGATGCACACCATCGTGCCCGGCTAATTTTTGCATTTTTTTTAGTAGAGATGGGGTTTTGCTATGTTGGGCAGGCTGGTTTCGAACTCGTGACCTCAGGAGATCTGTCTGGCTCGGCCTCCCAAAGTGCTGGGATTACAGGCGTGAGCCACTGTGCCCGGCCAACACAGACTCTTGTACTTAGTGGATGTTTGACAAAATATTCTTCTTGGGCCAAAAACATTGGCATTACTGGTGAGCTTGTTGGAAATTCAGAAATTCAAACTTTATTCTAGATCCTTAAAAAAAATCGGCATAATAAGATCTTCAGTTTATTGTACACATTAAAATTTGAGCTGTACCTTCTAACTCAACGTGTCTTTTCCATCTGAAAAATATATACAACTCGTCGTGTATGATGTAAATATAGCATTCAAAAATTTACACGTTTGTATTCATGTCTTTTTATACTTTTTCATTCAAAAAAGTATATATACACTGATGTTGTGGATCTTGTGCTGTTCTGTTATCTGAGTTAAAAAATACATTAGATAATATTTCTGCATTTAAATTTATTTTATTGTATGATTTTAGTCACTCCTTTAAGTCAGAATCAGTTTTCTATATTGTCTTACTTTGCCTTGAGCCAAAATAAAAATTCTGCCCATGGTTATTTAGTAAATATATATGTGTGTGTGTGTGTTTTTCAGGGACCATTGACATTTAGGGATGTGGCCATAGAATTCTCTCTGGAGGAGTGGCAATGCCTGGACGCTGCACAACGGAATTTATACAGGAAAGTGATGTTTGAGAACTACCGAAACCTGGTCTTCCTGGGTGAGGATAACTTCAACACACAATTCCTAATATGCCTTAAAGGTTTTATTTCTCTGTTTTTGTATAACTTGTGGTAATTTGTGCTTTGCATAAATGAGTTTCAGATCCCTGTTTTCAAGAAAACCTTTGAGATTTGTCCGTGTAGAAAGAAAATTTCTTTATTATGTTTCATCTTGACCTGAACTTCACACATTCCTGAGCTGATCTGTATCCTTCACTTTAGATTAGTGGTAATTACAGAAATGTGATGGCATAAAATGTTGTTGCCCACACCTTAAAATTTAATTGCCACCACCAATTTTTGATTCAGTAGTACTGGGTAGTGAAATTAAAGACCTACAAATTTTAAGTATTTTCTCACTATTTAGAAATGTCTTATAAATTAGTAATTTGGGATTAATTTACTAGAATATGCTATGACATTCTCTTTACTGAGCACATTAGTAGGTCAGTAATTGGAGGAGATGAGCAAGATTCATGTTATTTATTTTTAATAAAACAGGTATTGCTGTCTCTAAGCCTCACCTGATAACCTGTTTGGAGCAAGGAAAAGAGCCGTGGAATAGGAAGAGACAGGAGATGGTAGCCAAACCCCCAGGTAGGTGAGAATGATAGCGAATACAACAGATGACACAGACGAGAGGTCCAAAGGTCAAAGAGAAAGTCAGTTCTTGACATGGAATTTGGGAAGCTATGTTCCAGAGAAAGTAGTTTCTGGGAAGTTCAGTTTCTTTTCTCTTGTTCTCACATAGGGGCATCTTCTTTCTTATGCTCTTAAATTCTCTAAAAATTCTACTTCCCCATCAGTGATCTTCCTTCAAGTTTACTGTGAGCCAGAATCCTCTTTGTGGCTTATAAGAGACTGCACAATCTGACTGATGTTCCATTGTTTTAGGGACACACAAATATCTGCAAAATTTTGAGAAACTCTTATTTTTTAAGTTCTCTTTTTACATCATGTCTGAAATATGTGTGATTAGTGGTTTCTTTTCCATTTTTTGATTCATTTTTCTGCACACTTTGTCTTGTTTTTATTTAGTCTTTTTTTGGTAGTCTTGAAATATAGTTTGAAATTATAATGTCCTTCTTTGTTCTTTTTCCTCAAGATTGCTTTGACTATTCAAAGTTTATTGTAGTTTCATATAAATTTTAGGATTTTATTTTTCATTGCTGTAAAAAAATGCCACTGGAGTTTCGATAGGGAGTTCATTGAATCCATAGATTATTTTGGATAATATGGCACTTTAACAGTATTTATGCTTTCAATCCATAGACATAAAGTATTTTAAAATGTATTTGTGTTGACCAGGCACAGTGGCTCAACTGTAATCCCAGCACTTTGGGAGGCCTGTAATCCCAGCACTTTGGGAGGCCAAGGCAGGGAGATCATTGAGGTCACGAGTTTGAGATCAGCCTGGCCATCAGGGTGAAATCCCATCTCTACTAAAAATACAAAAATTAGCCTGGCCTGATGGCAGGTGCCTGTAATCCCAGCTACCCAAAAGGCTGAGGCAGGAGAATTGCTTTAACCCAGGAGGTGGAGGCTGCAGTGAGCTGAGATTGCACCACTGCACTCCAGCCTGTGTGACAGAGACTCTGTCTCAAAAAAATGTAATTATTTGCCTCTTCTCTAATGTATTTCATTAATATATTTTTATTGTAAAGATTTTTTTACCTCCTTGTATAAATTTGTTCTCAGAAATAATTTTAATGCTAGTATAAATAAGATTATTTTCTTAATCAGATTAGTTTGCTTAAGTGTATGGAACTTAAACTTGTATGTTAATTTTATATTTTGCCAAATTACCTAGTGTATTAATTTAAACAGGTTTTAGTATAGTTTATAATTTTTTATATACAAGAGCATGTGATCTATAAGCAGCAAGTTTTTACTCATTTGTCTTCAATTTCAATGAGTTTTAAAACTTTTTGATTAATTCTTCTGCCACATACTTGCAGTTCTATGTTAAAAGTATTTACAGTGGGTACAGTATAGTTTTGCACTGGTGTCTGAATTTAAAGGAGCAAACACCTCTTTAAGTTTTTATAAACTGGTTTCAGGAGGTAAAGATTTTTTGTTGTTGTTGGGTTCTCAGGGTGATGAGATGCCCTCTGGGTTTGTAGTAGAGAGTGGTGTAGCTTGGTCACAAGGCTGCTGGGTCTGCACTAGGGCTCACCTTTAGTTGGCTTAACAGGGGCTTGGGTAATTGTAATTTCCATTATATTTTGGAACAGACTAAATATTTTTCTGGATGTTGCTCTGTAGGGCAGACAGTAGGGCACATTTTCGTAATTGGGTCTATATATGGTGGGCCTTATATCAGAATGTGGATGAGTATGGCTTTCACTGAGTATCAAAGAGGTTTTTTTCAGATCACTGTGGGTTCCTATATAGGCAGAATAGGCCATGAACTATAGCTCAGGGAGCTGGAACTGAGTCATTAAACTGCTTCAGAAACCACAGTAAAGGACAAGGTCTGCGGGCCTGCCTGCGTGGCTATAAATGGGTGTCTTCCTACAGGCTTCCGGAGGGCAGGTCTCTCCCAGTCTGTGGCTGGGAGGAGTTTGGGATGATTAGAGAGTAAGTTCAGAATTCTCAGTGGGACTAAATTTGGTGGGCCATTTCCTGGTCGGTAGCTTAGAACGGGGGTCCTGTATTTTTCCACCTGAATGAGGGCTTGCCTTCTGAAAAGAACGCTCCTTAATCTTAGACTGTAGCAGAGTTTCACAACACCTTCTCTGGATCTCAAAGCTCTCTTAAAGGCCCTTATTTTTGAGATGGGTTTTGGCTTCATAACCCAGGCTGGTCTTGAAATCCTGGCCTGAAGCAGTTCCCCAACCTAAATGTACCGTGTAGCTTCCATTACGGGTGTGAGCCATGGCTCACATAAACGCATTTTGTCAGGGATGGCTGATAAATTTTCTTGTTGTGGGATGATAAGCAAATAGGGAACCTTTTATTTATCCATCTTACTGATGTCATTCTCCCTATATATTACTTTCTATTTTCTATTTCAAATTTTTCTGTACTTTAGGTTCAGACATTTAGGACAATATGCTAGAATTTACATGATATGGCTGATGTTACTTATATATTTAAGTTTGCTGCAGGCAAACAGGAATTATAGTATTTTCATCCACTTTCTTAAGCATATATCTAAATAACAACATAACTAATTTCTAAGTTTTTTATTTTATTTTATTCTATTTTGAGAGGGAGTCTCGCTGTGTCGCCCAGGCTGGAGTGCAGTGTTGCAATCTTGGCTCACTACAAGCTCTGCCTCCCGGGTTCACGCCATTCTCCTGCCTCAGCCTCCCAAGTAGCTGGGACTACAGGCGCCCGCCACCACGCCCAGCTAATTTTTTTTTGTATTTTTAGTAAAGACAGGGTTTCACTGTGTTAGCCAGGATGTGCTCGATTTCCTGACCTCGTGATCTACCCGCCTTGGCCTCCCGAAGTGCTGGGATTACAGGCGTGAGCCACCGCGCCTGGCCGCATTTGTTTTATATATAAGAAGTGCTAACCATATTCTGCAAAATATATAATTTTTAAATTTAGCAATGCAAGGCTATTGTTTTGCTCCGAAGGTTGAATTACAGCAGTTTTATTTTGTGTAAGAATAGCATATATTTAAAACAAAAAATTATTAATTTCTTTTAAATTCTTATTTATTATAAATTTATTGTTAGAATCTTTATAATTGTACTGTTTTCTTCTGAAATTTTATTGCAACACAGCACATGCCAATGATTTGAAATACCTGCTTTCCATGAGTACACACAGTCAAATATTGTAATTATCTAGACAAATTCTTTTTTAATGGTACATAAATATTGCAAACCAGATTTTGTGAGTAAACATTTCTCTAGTTATTGTTTTGTAGTTCCATATTAGTGTTTTATTTAGTGTAGGTTTTTAAACATCAGTTTATTGTGATTTTTTTGTTTTACTTATATATTTAGACATTTTGCAATTCTGTTTATAAACTTTAAGTCAAAATGGGGTTTAATTAAAAGATAAATCAGCTGGGTGCAGTGGCTCAGTCCTGTAATCCCAGCACTTTGGGAGCCTAAGGTGGGCGGATCGGAGGTCAGGAGTTTGAGACCAGCATGGCCAATATGGTGAAACCCCATTCTACTAAAAATACAAAAATTAGCCTGGCATGGTGGTGGGTGCCTGTAGTCCCAGCTACTTGGGAGGCTGAGGCAGGGGAATCTCTTGAATCTAGGAGGAGGAGGTTACAGTGAGCTGAGATCACGCCACTGTACTCCAGCCTGTGTGACCGAGTGAGACTCCATCTCCAAAAAAAAAAAGATAAATCAGCCATATGTCTATCACAATCAGTTTATATATGTGTGTGCTTTTATCTACAAATATGACCTCAATTTTGGTTATGGCTTATTTTGTATATATTCTTTCTTAGCTGATTTTCAGTGGCTGTCCTATCATCTCTAAGTGAGTAGTCATGGAAATCGCCTTCTTTTCACCATGTGTTTAATGATGAATATGTATTTCTTTTGCATGAGAGAAACACTTTTGTGATTTGAAGATAATTTTTGAAAAGATACATAATTCTGTATTTTTTCAGTTTTTCTTTAAAAAATTGTGAAAATATAACATAAAATTTACCATCTTAAATTCATTGAAGTGTACATTTCAGGGCCAGGCATGGTGGTGGCTTACATCTGTAATCCAGGGATTTTGAGAGGCCAAGACAGGAGGATCACTTAAGCCCAAAATTTGGAGACCAGCTTGGGCAACATGTAAAGACCCAGTCTCTACAAAAAAAAAACACATTTTTTAAAGACAGGCGTGGTGGTGTGCACTTGTGGTTTCAGCTACTTGGGAGATTGATGGGGGAGGATTTACTTGAACCTGGTTGAGGCTACAGTGAGCCATAATTGTGCCACTGCACTCCAACTTGGGTGACAGAGTGAGATCCTGTCAGAATAAAAGTTGTACATTTCAAGCCTGTTAAGTGTATTCACACTGTTAGGCAAAATACTTCTAAAAGTTTTACATCTTGTAAAACTAAAACTCAGTACACATTATGTAACAACTGCCCATTTTACTCTCTCTTCAGCCCTTGACAGACACCCTTCCACTTTCTGTTTTTATGAGTGTGACTACTTAAGATATCTCATAGAAGTAGAATCATACAGTAGCCATCATTTTGTTACTGGCTCATTTTAGGTGAGATAATTCTCTCAACATTTATATTAAAATGGGACAAGATTTTCTTTGTTTTTTTTGAGACGAAGTTTTGCTCCTGTTGCCCATGCTGGAGTGCGATGGTGCCATCTTGTCTTACCTCTGCCTCCCAGGTTCAAGCAGTTCTCCTCCCTCAGCCTCCCAGGTTTTTTTTTTTTAAGGCTGAATAATATTCCACACCCGGATTGCTTCAGCGTTTTGGCTTTTTTTTTTTTTTTTTTTTTTTTTTGAGACGGAGTCTCGCTCTGTTGCTCAGGCTGCAGCGCAGTGGCGCTATCTCGGCTCACTGCAAGCTCCACCTCCCGGGTTCACGCCATTCTCCTGCCTCAGCCTCCCAAGTAGCTGGGACTGCAGGCGGCCGCCACCACCCCTGGCTAGTTTTTTGT